GATATTTAATATCTTACCTTAGTTGTAAAATATTTTCTCACTTTTTGCTGTTTTTTCTCGAGTAAATCGTAAATTACATCATCTTTTCGTACAACATTCAAAACAGTTATCCCAGTTATTTCATTTTTTCTGAAACATGCCACGAGCTTTTTCTTGTTGCAGATGCAAATACCATTGGTACTTGAGATACAGATTCACAGATTGTGCATCGCTCCAGATCTCTATGAAATTTGGTAATAACTTTGAAAATAATATTTAATTAATGTTGAACCAATTAATAATAACATACTAAGCTCTTCATTTGTTGATCCATATCGCAGCGAATGAAGAGCCATTGAATCAACTGTTTTTTTGAGAATGAAATGTCGAAATCAATCTGTTATTAATTTATTCACCGTCTGATCACAGACTGATTTTATCACAATTATTTACAATATCATTTGCAATGAAACACTACCCGATCGAATACCAGCCGCCAGTCTTTTCGACTTCGGAGCAGCAGATATCGACTGTGTCCATTGTATATTACTATTCATAACACAATTTTTCTTAGTCTATTTTACCGAATATTAAATTACAAATTGTCCAATTCAACAATACTATTTCTAAAAATGTGTCTCGATGCCGATTCCAAAAATGTTTCTCTTATTAAATTAAAATTCCTACACGCCACGTAAAATGGTTGACTATGTGCATATTCAGCTGTAAACATTCGTACTCTAATAAGTTCTGTATTCCTCAAATTTCTTTGGTTTACGTTATATTGCTGTCTTGTGTATACAATCTTATCTCTAAGCGAACGCGACACTATTTTACCCAATAAGAGATCGTAAATTAAAAATATAGAGGCATTAATACGCCGTCTCCAAAGCGGTTGAATACTTAAAACATCACATCTAAACTGATAAAAATGGTCCACCGGGGGTTTTTTGGCCGAATATGGCGTTAATTTTGCAATACAAATAATTTTCGACACTTTTTTCATGAAAAAATCAAAAAAAGTTTGGAATTTTGTATTGAAGTTTGATGATATTGCCTGTTTGATGTTGTAATGACATGAAACTTTGCACAGAATGTTTTTTCTGCAAAAAATAATATACCGAAAGTTTGAATAAATTTCAATACAAAATAAGTGTATCTCCCATACAACATTTTCGAAAATAAGAAAAATTGTGAATTTCGACAGCGATATGGTCTGATCCAACAGCAGTTAATTATATCAAACAGCAATGGAAACTGACTCTCAAGCAAAAGATGTCGGTGGTGCATCAAATAAAATTGTCGCCATAGATATATTGGCAGTAGAACGAAAAAACGATGTGATGTATAAATTGCTTGACGATGTAAGATGATTAAACAGACTTTGGATACTGTGAACGAATGTTTGATATTGACCATCTTATTATTTTAAGGTTGAAACTGAGAAAATAGAAAAATTAAAGGATTTTATGGACATTATTTATAATTTTGATACTTATGGCCATTATAAAATAGACGAATATTTAAATAGTTGTGGTCTTGCCGTTGATCCTGACTATGAGACTTTTGGCATTGATACGGAGCTTCTAAGGAGTAGAGAAGCAATTTGTGAGGCATTTGACATAAAAGTAACGTCAACCATATTCACATCTACACATTCAAATAGTGTAGCTGATGAACTTGACTTTAAAGTTGACGGTGGTATGCGGTAGGTTGAGTTTGACATGTATTCTTTCAATAAATCATTTGGAATTAATTTTTCAGCTATAACGATGTTCGCAAAATTCTTTCCTCAAAGGGAACTCTTTGATAACTCTTCGTTCGATCGATTATTCGAAATATGATAATAGCAAGGGAATTCATCACAATAAAACTCAAGATCTTCGTGATAAAGTTCATCATGGGATAAGATCATTTTCAAGAAAAGATTTTAAGGTAAAGGGGAAAGAAAAATCGGATTAAAATGATCTAAAAACAGAATATATTCTGAACATCAATCTGCATTTTGTCTATTCAATCGTATTTTTAATAGTCATCAATATTCATGGATTGTTCGTGAAAAATGTATAAATAATGTATAAAAAATGTTCATAAAACAAAATATTAGTGAGCGAAAGTCTTTCACGTTAACTTTGTGATGCATATATATTATTATGTTTTATAAAATACAATCCGAGTGACTTGATCGTAAAGTAATCGAACAATACCTACTGCGAAAAGTGTGAAGACTTCAGTGTAGTTTCTAAAAGTCTTGTCTTAGTTTATATGATGACACAAAATCTAAGAAAATAAAATCCCGAACAAAAGATATATTGTTTGCTAATCATTTTTGTTAATTTTTAGATTGAAAGTGATAATATCAAACCATTAAAGGAATTGACGAAAAATTCATTTTCGAATTTGATACTTTTGTAAATATAATTATGTTTTGTTTTGTTGATGTTATCCTCGGTCTCATTGGTCAATGTATTGAAATTCGTTTGTTTATCAATAAAAACAGAATCTACTTACATGTATTCACGCCCTTTTTATATATTATATCTTGTTTGGACCATATTTTTATTTTTTACTCAAATTGTTTAATCGATGATAGAACAAAATGGCAAAAAATGAATGTAAAATAGATAAAAAGCAAATCATCAACATTTCGCTTTCATTGCGAGAAACATTAATTTCCGGGATTGCTTCAACAATGAATCACAACGGCGATAATTCGACTGTCAAAATTTATATCATGTAATTTTACCATACTTTTTTGCTACATTTCAACAGCGAAAGTATTTTTATGGAAATGTCGAAAAAAAACGATCAAGTCAAAGCAGAAAAACTCGTTGCTAGATTGTATGCAGAAATTGTGTGCTCTTGTGAAATATGGTACTTGTTACATGCGCTAGAGTACCAGCACAAGCACAAGCACAAGCACACAAACAAAATCTTCAAGTGAATGGGAAGTGTTTGAAGTGAAAGAGTTCACTTAGGAAAGTCATAAATCATAAATACGAAACCAAAACAAACGAACACTTAGCCTAACTGCGCATAAACATTTAACAGTGAAATCAAATGAAAATTATGAAAACAGTTTTGTTCAACAATGTTCTCTAACAAATGAGCGCATCAAAAAAAGCTTTGTCGAATCGAAAATAATACAAAACTAATCTGTTATTGAACATGTGTTTATTGTGTGAAAATGTGAAATGTTTATAATAGCATATACTGTATCGATTGTATCCCTAATCGGAACTGAGTGTATTCGGTTCCGAGAATTGTATGACGCTCACTTGATTTGTGGCATTTTTATGTATGAGTGTTCATTTAAATGCAGTTTGGTAATGAGTAAAACTGATTTAAAAAAAACTGAAGCTGTTAGTACTTACAATTACAACACGCATCGCTTTACAATGAAATTAATTAAAAAGGCACGAACATATACGCACAAAAACTATTCCATGCATCTATGAAGAGAATGAGAAAGAGAATAAAAATTTGTCATGCCATTGCATTGAGTGCAATGTCACCGATGACTTGAACTACGCAATTATGATGTATATGAAAAGAGAGCGAAGCATGAACGAGCGAGTCATGCGCGATCGTTAAACGTGTACAATTTCTAATTTGATTCAAAAGATTTTGACCCAATTTAAGTAGCTGAATGATTCCGTCATCATCGTCGTTCTTCAATGGATTTTTTCTTCTTCTTACTTGTTTTATTACACTCGGTGTGCGTGCTACAATCGATAGAATTAGTACATGCCACAACATAAATGAAACTTAATCTATGATAATGAAAGCATTTAAAATTTTTATTGGAATAGAACCGAAACGACAATGACAAAGAACGAATAAGAGACATAATAAAAAAAATCGCTGAAACAATATACTAATAACTAAACGTGAAGCTGGTTCAATCGTTTTGTGCACACTCGTTCGTATTGAGAAGAGAATGCGCGCGCAATGGGCAATAGGGAAATTGAAGTCATATTATTACACATTTTGACTTGGTTAATTTAGTGTGACATTGTTTTACTCATTGGCTCATTCAAATCTATTTCATCTATTTGTCAGCATGTACGCACACACGTACTTAGCGTACACACTAAAAAGAAACTAAACTGAATAACTTATACATAATATACAATATGGTTGCTTTATTCGTTTTCTGTGTCTTACTTTGTGCTGCACTTTCGTATCACAAGAAGCGAATAAAAATTTGTTTATTTTTTTCTTTACTCGCATTGTTCGTCTAACAAGTAACAACATGAACTATGTTCGATCATACTTTAATTAACATTTAAAAAAATTGACTCGATTGTACGGCACATATTATTTCGTGTTTTCATTTCTCTCCTATTCTTAACGATGTTATGCTTGACATTTATAATTAAAATTGATAAAAACGAACAAAGAATGAACAGAAACAGATACAAATAAACAAAAAAAATCGCTTTAAAATGGAATTTTACATTTACAAATATACGATTAAATGTCTCATACTTCAGATAAAATATTTTCTATTTGTACGCATATTTGACAGATTGTCCTCTAGTTCGTCTTCATCGTCGTCTTCTTAATGTTTGGTTTATCTTATGCTTAATTATCGTCTTCAAATTGCGTTCTCTAAAGTTCAAGGCGTTTTTAAGTGAATGTTGCACGCAGTAGACCGATGCAAACGTTGCAATATATGTGTTTAGCTAGGGAAAAAGAAACTTGTTGCGTTTACGAAATAATATCTATTTGTCTTCACTCAACCCGATCAAAGAATGATGTGCACGAAAATTACAAAATATGCCGATGCTGCCGATGCTGCCATTTGATGATGAAATTGAATGCGTGTGAATTGTGCGTTACAGAACATGTGTGCGTTTTTCGCTTAAGAAGTATATATATATGGATGACTTGTGATTTACATAAACATATTTTGTTTGTATGTCTGTCATATTTGTAATGTGTTCTCGATGTAAGGCACAATCAATGTAATTGACATTTTATTTCGGATCATTTTTTTCTTTATCAACAGTTGGCTTATAGATTATTTCCGCATATTCTGTGGTATTTTTCGGTATTTTGGCATCACCCTCATCGGAAGACTGTTTCAATACCAATTCAGCATAGACTAAATTTTTTTCATCCTGAGACAATCGGAATAAAAGAAAGGTCATTCTTTGTCCAAATGAACAATAGTAATGGAAAAATAACCCTACTTATTTCTCGATAAGCAATCAATTCTGCTTCGAGCGCCTTGTTCTTACCTTTTTTTGTGGTTCGTCCTCCATTACAATGGTTGACTCGCTTGGCGCGGCATTATCATCGTCGTCATGTGATAATTGACCGTCTTCGATGTCATCATTTTGTTGTGGTGCTTCCGGTTTGTTGGTTTGTTTTTTGAATAAGCCATTCAAACGAATCATCAAATTGTGTTTTCCCCCGTTCTTGTTCACATCGTTATGACTTTCTGTGTCACTTCTGTGTTTTGCATTATTTTCGCACAAAAGCAAATACATTTCCGTATGAATAACCAAAGGTAGAAGAAACAAAGAAAAAAAATTACGCATTCAGCATAATTGTTGATAAGACGTGCCATTGACTTTGTCAATTGCTATTTAGGTTTTATTTATCAAAAAAAACATGTTATCCATTGTGTGTGCGTGTGTGAATCGAGTTTATAAGAAAGTCAATGGGCTTTTGTTTTGTTTTCAAGTACAGAAATATACTTACGTTTCACCTGCGACTGGGTTTTCGTCACTTCGGCCTGAAATTGAACACAAATAGAAAATTGAACACAATTGTTCATTATTCCACGGTGCGCTCATTCATTAGATCGCTTCGTGAATTTCGTTGGCATTTAAACATTTTGTGAAAGATTTTTGTGAACGAAAACCATTTGTGAATTCATTATGTTTATGCGGATATTAACATCGTTTTGATTCGAGATCAATCGGTCGATCGATCGATCTCGCTGAAAATGATTAATGGTTTCACTCTCAGTGAGTGAAATTTTTCGGCGCCTCTTATGTTCGGTACATTATGGCACCGACAGCTGTTACATTTCTAAGCATGCGGTTTCTATGTGTGTTTTTATGATTGACACAACACGATAAAATGCCGATAAATAAAATCAAACACAAAAATCATAATAAATTGAAACAAAATAAATAAATAATTCAAATATGTCTACATACAAAAAAGGCGCGCTTAACTAATATATCGAGCATTTTTTTCGCATATAGAATATTATTATTAATAGAACTAATAGCAGCATAGAGTTGATAGTTACGGGAAATGGATCAGAATCTCTTGCGCACTCTGACTTTATCGTGTATGAAACCGTGCAATATAAACAATGATTTATTCATATTTTATTTTCAGGGCATTTTTTCCGTTTTTGTGAGTTTTTTTTTTCTTCTCTTTGTATATTCAATTTATACATTGAAGCTATTTTGTGATGAATGGACATCGATACGCTTTGGTTGTATCACCGTAATGGCAAAACGCCCGATTTCAATCTATATACATTAGAAATTGATGGAAAAAATCAAGATAGACAACAACTATACATTTGAATGATACGGTGTTAATTGGTAGATGTCGAAACATGCAAAAGGTGTGTTTGGTGTATGTATGCGCGTGTGTATGTGTGTGTGATAATTTGGACTGAGCCGTTAGTCGACGTTTCATTTCAGTGTTGATGATTTGCATATCAATCCAATTTTTTTCGGTTTAGATGATTGGAAAAACGTGTATTTTGCATTAATTTTCGGTTCATGCAATTTTATTCATTCTCCAAATTTTCTAATTGAAATGAAGAAATTGAACGAAACAAATACCCGTGATTCGACCTTTTTCTGTCTTTTCATCCAAATTGAATAATGCTCCTTGGACCGACCAAATTGGCACGTCTTACCTCTCCAAGCGATTGCAAAAAGTTCGATGTTTGCCAGTGTTATTCTCCAAATAATAAATGTTTGCATGGTGTAATAAATGTATTTGTAGTCTTCAATTGAAAAATTGTACAATGAATTATAATTACAGCTTCATTGTTTTTGTGTGTGAGCGTGAAAAATTGAAAATAACCAATTATGGGCTGAAGGCAACAAACATTCAACAAATGTATATACAAACAAAAGGCTAAAATTGAATGTATTTATTTTTGTGCATTACGGAAGATGTCTGAAGGTTACACTAGTCTTGAAAGAATGTGTCACTCGCTTTTGTACGGCAATTGTGCATCTAAAACAAGAACGATCAATTGATAAGTACTTTTTTGTATTTGATTGCGCACAATCAACCCATTGATTAACATCACGTGCGACCTATTCACTCACTTTTTTATTGTCTAATGACGGTTGATGATTTGAGAAAAAACACGGAATTTATTTATCGACTTTTTAAAAAAACTTTGTTGGTTTTTATTGAAACGTTTTTTGTTTTCCTCAAATTTGACACAGAGATGGATTTCTATCCACGACATGTACAAAAATAATTTGAATTGAGAATGGAGATTTGAAACTTATGAATTGTCTTTGAATGCGTTTGTTTTTCAATTACAACTAAGCTAGTGGTATTACGGTGAATTAAGAGAAGAAAAAATCTGGCGCGATTGCGAAAATTTCAATTGGTTGTTTCGTTTTTGTTTCATCAAAAATTGTGGAACACATTGAGCGAAAAATGAACCGGATTTTGAATATAACCATTTTGTTTGGCATTTATAAAAGTTTCAAAATTTTTCTCTATCTTTCACTATCTATATGTTTCGATCTCTTTCTCATTTTTGTTTCTTTTGTGGATTTACTTATTTTTCTTCAACTTTTCAATTCTTGTTTTATTATTATAATTTATAAATTATATCTTACGGTTAAGAAATTAAAATTGTTTAATGTAAAATACATAAGTTGGTTTTTTTATTTGTTTCTTTCAATTCGCTTTTATTCTGCAATCTATGTATTTATGAATGTATGTGTATTTTTTTCTCTCTTTTTCAATTTTATATTTGTATTATTTTATTTATTTCTCTGTTGTATCTCCTTTTTAAATTACTAACTCTAAATCCTACATCTAACCGACTCTACTGCGCTTATTTCAAATCCATTCCACATTTTGTATGTAAAATCATTGAATGGTTTTTCTTTGCTTCAATTTTTTTTTTCTTTTCTTTTTGAGTTTACTATTTATTAATGGCAATGGTTTTAAAATACAAACTTGATATATTTAACTCAATACCGTTGCGTTTAACACTAATTAAATATATTAAATGAAGATTTTTGTATGTTTTTATTTTCATTTCTTGTCTTCCTCTGTCGGAAGTTTACACATTTTAAAAATGATCTAAAGCGGGGAAAAGTGATCCAATATAAAACAGAACGAACAAAAGAAGAAGAAAGTATGGTGTTAGCGGTGTTATTTGCGTTTAATTTTGATTACTTTGATTTTTATCTGCTGTTTGAAATGGGCTATTCGTTCTTTTTGTTTGAAATTGGATGAATAAAAAAGCGTGAGTTTTGCAAAAGCGTAGAAAAGGAAGTAAAAACACATATGTGTTATTATAAAATTGGTGTGAGTTGGTGTGAGCGTGTGATTGTGTTAAGCATGGAAAAGTGAATGTAATCACGGCCGATTAGACGCGATCTCTCGGAAGGCATGATTGGCAGAAAGACTTGAATTTAACATTAGGACGGAATCTCTCTTTGAATATTTTTTTTATTTAATTTTTCTTTGAACAAACAATTCTTTATTTTCGGTTTTTTCTACCTCTCTGTCTCTCTTTCGTTACGAAAAAAAAATTTGGTTGACTTAATTTCTAACTGAAAATGTTTATTAAAGCAGCGTTGACCGGTATTGGCCGCAGGCTTTGTGTAAGTTTCGAATGTCGAACGAGAAGACCTGCGAATAATTTTATTCGGCTTTAATTTGGCGTCACGTGAGCGATACTTTTAGTCTTACAAAGAAATTCGTTTCTAAATGGTAAAAAATACGAGAAAATAAGAGGGTAGATTAAAAGAAAATTGGGCTAACGACATCTTTTTCAAAGAGTTCCGTTTTTTTTCTGTTTTAAGATGAGATTAGTATGCGAATTTTTATAAGAGCATACACATTTTTTTTGTATAATAGCATACACAATTTATATATTTTTTTTCGCTAAAAGCAACAACTAAAATCAGATGACACACGGAATGTCTTTCAAATGCAAGCAACGAACGAAAGCCAACGACAAAGTATGCGGCACGCAATGAAAAGCGAATTTTTAATGACAGTTTATTATTATTTAGTCACGGCGACATTTTGCACTCGTTTGGTTTCCGGTATTTTCATGGGAAAAAAGAATGTGCGATTAATAGTTCTATTTTGTTGAAGATCGTGTTATGAACATTGAAAAGAGATGGGAAACAAATCATGCTGTGATTCAAATTAAGTGTCACTGATCAAATTAAGATTGTGTCAAATAAGGCGCTCGATAACAACTCGGCGGGCTACAATTAAGTTTTTTTTCATAAAGAAAACACTATAACAGTACACTCGTTGATGATTTAGGTTGGCAATAAAAGTTTGAACATGAAACGGCAAATATCATAACCGTTTTTTAACTTTTCATTTCTATTTTACTTTCGCCCAACAATGCACTGTTATGGAATTCTTTATCACGACGCCAATTACATTTACATACAAGTCTCGGTTGATAATAATGCGGACGCATTTTCTTTGTTTTGCTTCATTGCTTCCAAACACTACTCTCAATGCATAACTGTCGTCAGCGTTTGCTTTTAAAATGTTATCATCCTTTTTTTGTGTTTAGTTTTTTTTGTATGTTGCTTCTTCATTCGTCTAATTGTTGTTTTAGTTGTTTTTATCATTTGTTAAACTAGTGAGCTTGATTTACTTCGAATGTTTTCTTTTTTCTTCCCGAACAAAAAAAAGACGCAAGAATTTATGTGAATGAGGAGTTAAACTGGTGTGTTGGTCTTTTGTTCGTTGCCATTTCTCTGTTGTTGCTGCTGTTGTGGTTGTGTTTTTTCATTTTTTTCCGTGTGTTGAGTTTCCGCATGTCGTTCGTCCGTTTCATGATCATATTCTTTATCTTCATAATCGTCGTGGTGTGGTGCAATTTGTGCTTCTGAATCGGGTCCAATATCAGTATTTACTGAGGCACCTGCAAATATTACACAGTTTTTGGTTATGAAATTGTTTGATGTTCAACGGTGTAAGTGTGTGTATATTTGTGAGGGAAGTGAGAGGGGGTGATAATGATAGATCAATGCATTAAGATAATTGTATTTGAATCTAAGAACACTTCATACGCCTAAACACTACTAAAATGGCATATTTCAACACTAAATAACAACCGAATAATTTATGAACGATGAAATAAATCTACAAAATAATAAAATAAAATATAAACACCCCGGAATTGCAGTCAAACGGAAAAAATATATGGCCATAAATCAAAATCATTTTGATTTTATAAATTGGATAAAAAAACAGCGCAAGAAGTAAAATATTGGTATATGTATAGAAAAAAGAGAAACCGAACAGGAAAATCGCCAAAAAACTAAAATAATATATAAAACGTAAAATAACCATTATTAGGCATATACATAATTGAATTCTTATATCTCATGGAGAGAGAGAACGAAAGGTATTCAAATTCAAAGGAACAAAAAAAATACTGGGTAATAATAATGTCTGGCGTAAAACATACAAATCAAATTTCAATGTCTACCAGGCATATAATGATTAAGTTTAACACACGCGCGTGGTATAGCGGCGTTTCGATATGAATAATACAGGTGCATAAGGACATTAAATAGATATGCAATTAGACATAGCGCGGCCACAAAACATAAAACTAAAACAGTTGTTTCTGCCCGAAAAAGAAATGGCATGAGGAGAATATAACATTGAAAACAACGTACATGCCAAGCGAAATGCGCACAACGAATACACCAACAACCACAGCCAATCGAATACGAACAAAAAAAAATGCGAAAGGTGAAAGAACACATTTTGAAATAGCATGCACGGCACATTCTCATTTCATACGCTGTAAGCAAACAGGCAAGCAATTCAACGTCTAGCGTCTTCATTCTCTTTTTGTTTAATATCAATAATTTACGTTGAAAATATAGTAATAAAACGATACACAAAAATAAAAGAGCGACCAACATAAAAAGTAGTTCAGCTCGCTCCGCACACACTCAGTGACGCCAGCTGAAACATGCTACGCATCAAATGAAATGCTCAAGAAAATCAATATCGAGTAAAATGCTTTTAAAATTATCGTCTTGTTTGAATTTATCGAGGGAAAATTGACGACGAAATTACGTCGAAATGTATGCATGCTTATAATTTTGCCAAACAAAATATTCAATGGCTTATTTAGCAGTGATATTTGGCCGAGCAAAAATAAAATGCCGGGAAGAAGAAGAAAATCCGTTTGATCGATAAAATTTTGCGTTTTTACTTTTGTAATTGTAATTGAGTGAATGGAGGAAACAAACATTTTCGAAGAGTTGAAATTATATTTTTCTTTGTCATGTGGCTACGAGAGGGCTTTCAATTCTAATAAAAATCGAATCGCAAATATAGTGCCATTTATTTTCTTACACGCATATCGAAAGGGAAATTTCCCAGTTCAAAGATACATGCACAGCACAAGTAAAGTGAACGTTTACATACCGTCTTCACACTGTGTCGTTGTGTCAATACGAAACTAATAATGTGCTGAGTGCACTAAATAGGGTGAGAGAATGCATTTAATTTATCAGATGATTGCGATCGAATCGGAGCCGAGCTGAGTGTGCGAAGCGAACACAACCATGCGAATAATATAATTAAAACAATTTTGGTTTTGTTATTCTTTCGATGTTATTCCACTGACTTTAATTGATGTCATAAAATATGTGCGCTTAGTAGTGTCATTTTATACAGTTTTTTCTACACTCGTTAATCGCATTTATATTGGGCTCCATTTCGAAAAACTATTATTCGTTGAACATATTATTTAGAAAAATATGTGAATCAATTTTAAAAAAAGTATACAGTACAAAACAGCTAAAGGCTGAATGAAAAATAAACGACTGAGTTATTGACAGAATGGAATATATTCGTCTGTTCTAATCGCCTTCGGTTTGTGTGTGCATGTAGCGCCAAACGAATGAATTTTAATCGAAATCGGTTTTTATGTTGGGAAACATGTGTTTGTTTGGCGACTCTTGATTACGCAGGTAGTTGGTTTTCTCGGAACGATACATGAATCAACGGTTGAATCACCATTTCAAAACACCAAAACAAGGAGTTATTATTATTATTGTGTTTGTTTATCACCATCAGTTTCATACACCAAATCACTCTCTTCATATAAAATGTGTTTCCATCCAAGACATTTTTTTATCGGCTCTTCGGCCAAACAATCTAGAATACTGTAATAAAATGAGCGAATGTAGACAATACACCGTATGATCGGTACACCGTTGTGGGAATCGGAAGGAAAACTTATGCTCACTCACTCACATCGTCTATGGTATATATTTTGTAGTTCGAAAAACTTTAATAATAGAAAAACTTATAGACGATTGAGCACACAAAGAAAGTCATCTGATATGGGTGAAAGGCGCACGCACATACACGGCCAAACAACAAACATAATAATGCATATTTATCTTCTCGGTGTATCTCACTTGGGATTTTCAACAACGAAAGACTGGAATATTGACGAAAGTAGAAAAAAACGGAAGCTATCGGATGAGGTATGAATGCATTGAATGATAACAGTTCATATACACATGTGTTTGGATATATATATATGAATGGGGTAGAATAAAAACTACTTCTCGAAAAA